GGCTGTTTTGACATCTGAAAATGCAGTACGTGCGGCGTCATTCCATTCCAGTTTGCGTGGATTACCGCGAAGTAAGTCGGTTAACGGTCGTAACTCCCCTGCCGCGTGCGAAATGAAGCGTCGGTAGAAGTTGACCAAACCGAGAAATGCCTTCAGTTCCTTGAATGTGGACGGTACAGTGTACTCCATTATCGTACGTACTTTATCCTCACAAGGTAAAATACCCTCATGCTTAATAACATGACCTAAGAATTTTATTTCCTTCTTCCCGAGTTCACACTTGTCGGGGTTGACTATTATTCCATTATCCGAAAGGCGCTGGAATAGTAGCGTTAGATGTTGATAATGTTCATCTACGCTTGATGATGCGATTAGCAGGTCATCAATATAGACGTGAACAAAATCTAGGTCTCGTACGATGCTATCGATAAACCTTTGGAAAGTTTGAGCAGCATTCCGTAATCCAAATGGCATTCGTAGGAACTCAAATAAACCGAAAGGAGTCGTGATAGCAGTTTTCTCTATATCTTCAAGAGCGACTGGGATCTGGTGATATGCTCGTACCAGATCGATCTTGGAAAAAATTGTCGTGCCCTTGAGTGATGCCGTGATGTCATGTATGTGGGGGATGGGATAGCTATCGAAACGTGTAGCTGCGTTTAGCGCTCGGTAGTCTCCGCATGGTCTCCAACTAACCCCATCCTTTTTTCGAACCATGCGGAGAGGTGAGGCCCAAGGACTGTGAGAAGGACGAATAATACCAGTAGCTAGTAAATTGTCGAACTCACGTTTAGCGAAAGCTAATTTGTCCGGTGCCAGTCGGCGAGGTCTTGCCGTGACTGGTGGTCCGCGAGTGACTATGTGGTGTAACAAACGATTGGTCACCGATGGAGTCTCCTCGACAGGTTTAGTTAATTTGGGTAATTACTGAAATAAAGCGTGGAATAAATCGTCACGCGAATGAAATACACCTGTGATTCGGTACGCGTTTGTGTGGGCTTTAAAGCCCATAAAGTTGCTGTTCGACGAAGTATCAATTAGCTGCAGCCTACGTGAATCGACCAGCAATTCATAGTGCTGTAGGAAATCGATACCGAGTATAGCTGTGGGAACATCGGCAATGATGAACGTCCACAGATACTGTCGTCGGTTGCTCAGGTTGACCGTAAGTTGTCGTGTACCATAGGTGGGAATGACTGAGCCATTCGCAGCGCGTAGTCGAAGCATAGTGGCTTAAGACTTAGTGTTACCGATAGGTACGACAGAAACTTGGGCACCCGTATCCACAAGGTACCTAGCGTTGGTGCGATAATCGTGCACGTAAAATAAACGGCCAACCTGAGGTGAAGTGCCGGCCGCATTTACTCGCCGGCTGAGGAGTTTCCCGGCTTGTATGAGCAGGGGGCTCGACAATGACGGGCACCGGCCCCGAAAGCACGGTGAAACCAGCACCAACCTGGACTCGCTTCCGAAACCGCCTTCTGGCGTGGCTTGGAAGATATCCGCTTGGGGTGAGTCGTTACGGCCTTACGAGATTGTGACCTGGGTCGGGGGACGTAGGGGGCTGGCACGTTTGAGCGGTCTCGGAAACTGAGACGAGTATGGATACATCTGTCCCTATCCCCATGAGCCGGAGGTCGTCTAGCATCGATATCAATGTTAGAACGGGAAGTAGAAGCAACAATATAGTTGTCTTTGGCGCTAACACGTGCTAGAATCTTGTCTGCTATGAGGGCCACCTTGTTCAGTGGGGTGTCCTCGAGCAGGGCCGTAAGGGTTGGCTGGATACTGACTGGTAAGGCTTCGAGCCACAACTCTTTGACTATCTCAGAGTCTGCTGTCGAGGTTCCTGCAAGGGATTGCAGGCGCGTGAGGTGGTGGCTCGGCTTAGCATCACCCATAGGGTGACGAGCTAAGAGAGTCCTCAATCGTTCCTCTCTTGATGGGAGGAAATGTCGAAGGATGGCATCCTCAAGAAGGTCGTAAACGTTCGGAACGTTCGGATTGAGGACAACCTCACGGACAGTGGTTAGGTGATCCCCGGGCAATGATTCCAAAGCGTAGGCGTGCATTTGCCTTTGGTTGGTTATGCGGCGAATCTCAAATTGAGATTCCAGTGCCGCGAACCAGACTTCTGGATCATGGGGAATAAATGGAACCAGGCGAAAACTGATAACCTATATCTCGGAGTCTATCATATTTATGTTATTCTTATCGTTATCTACCATATTAAGTTGCCAAAATATTATATATTGAAAAATATCAATACGAATATATGCAACCGATGTGGATAGATAAATAGACTCACCGGATTGATCTGGCTTGGAGAATTGGCCAAGTTTGAACTGTGCTGGAAGAATTGGGTTACTGGTTGTGGTTCACCAGATGTGCGTGTTCTCAATACGGCTCACCAGTTTATAGTGGATGTCGAGTCGAAGACGGACTATGATCACCACTACAATTCGTTTACGCGATCAAAAAAACGACTTGGTTCCTTTGATAGCTCGTAAATCAGAAGACTTTATTAATCCAGATCAATTGTATTTATTGGCGATCTCGTGATATCGAAATAATACCGAGACGTGCCAAAGAGTACAGGCGAACAGGCAGTGCGTGAGGAAGTTCGAACCAAACAAGGCGGAGAGCGAAACAAGAAGTGAAACTGATACAGTTAAACAAATACAGTAAAACAATCTCTGGTACAATTGGTTACAATAATAATAATTGTTTCCGTTATTCCAATCGTGTTCTTATCGAGACTGGCCGGTCACTACAGGAGCCCCCCGCTAGAAAGGGTTTACACTTTCGATACGCAGCGGTTTCACTCGTGGGACTGATCGCGAAACGTGCAATTGTAGGACGAAGGCGTTGGCAGAACAGGAAGTGATCGTTGATCCTCGAGTTGCCACCAAAAGTCTTTGACGTACAACGGTACCAGAAGGAATGTACTGTATTGATTGCTTGGATTATCATGCTACACCAGAGTGGTTTGTATCCAGAATCTGAAGGTTGCGTTCGTAGAGGTCCGGACCAAAAACGCTGCAGACGTAGGACGAAACCAGATTGAGCCAAGGAACCAGATGCGACCAGGATAACCATGTTCGGGACCAAATGTATACTATACGTATTTGGAGCCAGAGAGGTCGACTGAGTGCGTTGACTAGAGCGTGGGTGATCAGGCCAGCTTTCGCCAAAGTAGACTGAAGTCGACGATACCGTAACAGCGATGGTCGGAGGCGTAGGCCGGTCACTACACATTGAAGACATAGTGCATTAGCGGATTACGAACACGAAATTAAGATATTAGTTGTTGTGACGATATTTAAATTGATGATCATCGTTCATGAAATCCGATTCCACTTGGAGTTCCGTCTTCAACCGTTTGAATGGCTAAAGGATATAGTCTGGTTCACTGCATTCCTGCAAATGCTGACAATAATAGCGAGTGACTCAGTACTTGAGTGGACAAGAATATATAGTCTCACTACATGTGCTCAAATAATGTACCATGAATAAGAAACACATCAAGACAAATTGGAAGAATCTTCTAGGTGTGGTGTCGGACGCTATAGGCAACGACTAGTCACTTTCCTGACTTTAACAAACTCGGGAGCTGACCGATGTCTATCGAAACTGTTGTAAACCACATTTTCCTGTTCATGTACGAGGTGTTAGGACCTTTGGAAACTCTTAAGTTGTATGGCTTGTAATAATCTACAGTGTTATATCTAAATTTTGATCTGGTCTGATGTTGAAGTACGATTGATTCATTCACTGATAACTTAGGCCTCAAATAACAAGAGAATCCAACTGTAATTCAGGTACCAAACGTTTATTCGTAAACTACAAGTAGTCGACCCAAACTATATCATTCTAATTATAATCGAAACAACTACATGACGAACCATTTGTCTTTGGATTTTCGAAACAAAATTTCCAAAATACGGATATTAGTATGTACTTGGGGTCTCATCCGGAAAAAATCTCCTTTCATAGTATGACCTTACCTTATGAAGTACATTTTTCTCTTAAGAACGTGTTCAAAGAGTAGTAACAAAATGTTATCCAGACAAAAATCTAAATTCTACCAATGTTATGTTGAGGTTTCTAATTGGTAATCAACGCTATGTATCACGGTTATTAAAGGTTTGGTTATGATACCTTTCTTCCTACCCCAACGTAGCACTGATATGCCTTAATAATAAAATACATTTAAAAGGACAATCATTTAAAGTGAGACAAAAAGATGCTCACACAGATATTCGTACAAACATATTTAACTACTCACACTAATAATTTATGGAACCATAGACAGGTAGCGTTAATAATAGCTTCAGGTGAATTTTTCAAAAGTAAGTTCGGCAATAACTTCGCGATATTGGACATTTAGGGAAATCACTACAAGTACCAAGTCTTTATTACTTATATTTATAAACCATTTCTTTTCACTTTTTAATTTACAGATGAAATTAAATGCGAATCCTAATCTTAAGATGTTTGAGGCACAAGTAGAATAGGGAATCCTACCAGTTTTTTTTATATATTTTTTCATATTTGGTAAATGTACTCAAAAATTAAAGTTTGTATCTTGATTATCATTGGAACCCTTAAAATACAGTAAGATCTCACTTTTACTCTTTCATTAACGACATTTGTTGTTAGGTTGTTAATTGAAGCTCGTTCGAAATTTTATTCCACAGACCTCCAACTTCAGTTTACAGATTGTCTTAGGTTTATGCTCATTTTATCCCCATTTGTTGTCAGTTGCTTCGATCAATAAATGTAGGTATATTCCAAGTGCCTACTAAGTAATTGGCTCAGTTATTCTCATATCCTTCTCTTTTTCAGATTTCCTTATACAGTCCACCAAAACATAACTGACTTCCAAGCTAAACGTGGACCGTGATAAATTTGCATCTCATAAGAGGACTAATTCCTCTTGCAATATTACAACAGGAGTACTCTAACCATCTTATCGAACTTCATAGTACACAATCCAGATGGCAGAATTGCATTGTTTTGGACAAATTTTGTGTGCTTATGGGTTCCCCCAGAAAGATTTATTCTGCAAATGGGGTCTTAAAGCTGGTAAGAATTTATGACGGCTAACACTTTGTAAGGTTGTGCATGGAGGTTACTTGAAGGTTTAGCTGAAGGTGAGACACAAGTTGACTGCCCACTGGTTGGCGAAAAAGCATACTTTTGCCATCCAGTCGATCTACATTTCGCTACAAAAGGTTTACAAGGTAACAGGAATTCATTATGTTTTATTCTTAGGTTGGCCCAAGCTTCATTTTCAGGTTTGGCATCATGATTGGGTTGGTAAAAACGAGCTTTATGGGTATGGTTTCTGTCACATCCCAACATCTCCTGGAAATCATGAGGTTAATCTCACTTTCTTAATAACACTTAAAAGGTAATTGTTCCCACATGGAGACCGGTAGGTTCCATTTTGGACACTTTAGTGTCAAGGCTGGTTGGAGGTGGTCCACGTCTTCGCAGACCAGACATTGTCTACGACCCAACTGATAGATTCTTGCTACAGACAGAGAGTATGGGTTACATAACACTAGATTTGAATGTCGTAACGAGAAATTTTGATAAGTTTGGTGTAGAAATGTAAATCATTGTTTATGTTTTTGAAAGTTTTCAAAACAAAATTTTACCTACATCATACCGACTTGACCGTATTTCTTTTGGTATTTCATCGAATTTTTGTGTAAATAATTATCTGGAACAAGAAATAAGAGCAATCATATTTCTTTCTTCTTAATCAACAAACTACTAAGTGTATGCACATTGTTGGGATAAAATGTTTTAAAATGGACGTGACATGAAGTTCGAAAGAAGGAGAGAAATCAGGGTTTAGTTAATTATGAATTATAAAAGTTTTCAGTGCTGCCGAAACTTAATCAAGTGAATTTAATTCACAAACGTTTCCAGCACAAAGGGTAATTCATTTTATGTAGGTCTGTCGCTTTATTCAAGAGCATGTTTATATTCATTTATCCTATACCGAAAGAAACAATGTTACAAAAGTAATATACATATCAAAAATTAACAAGATAAATGTTATATTTTTGTCAATGGATAGTTGATACTCGTATCCCCAGACGCCCATAATAAAAGACCTTCCACCTCCGTCTAAAATTTCTTTTAAAACCCTTTGACTACCATCCGTAATGTTGAATAACGTCATACGTTGACTAGGTAAAAAGAGGATCAACGTGAAATTCAAAGTGGGATCATTTAAAGTCACCACGTAGCCAAAGCTTTGCTGAAAATAAGAAACTCAATAATAAGCTAGTTATATTCCAGATTACAAGTAGATAGGTTCTGTTTGTGATAACAGTTCGACACCAAACGTAATCAAATATTAGTTTTCAGTAGCGATGTAAAACACAATTGCAATTTTTAAAGAAATAGATCTCATCACTGAATCTGTTTTAAGAAAAAATATGGCACAATACAGAAATTTAACAATGAGTTCACAATAATATTATTTAGGAGTGAATAATGTGACACGACTAAGTAGAAACCAATATTTCGGTTTTACAGGTCATAATGTTGCTGAAATAATCATCCATAGGATATATTGGGTTATGGAAACGATGTTTAGCTAATGGACTGATCGTTGTAAATAAAAATACTACACGTTAGACGATCTCTTGTGTTAAATAATCTTCCGGTTTTAGGATCGCCAAGTACAATCTCTAACCTTATTTGTTTCCTTTAAATATGTCTAACAAATAATCGATCAACGACATAAGAATACTTAGATATCGTAAGGATTTTTCAAACAAATATGTTTTCTAAATAAAATCATTTTTCTACCGTGATTTCTAGCCGTCCAGTCTCGTAAGCTTACACAAACCTTTTAACCCATTTACCGGTATCGTCTCATTTACAGTGACTATTAGTCGAGTTCTCAAGATTTTTGCAACACAGTTTTGTTTTCTAGGATAACCTTCCTAGCGTACTGTGCTAGTACATCGTCACCATCTAGCCTTTTGGTCTTTCACTAGGTTTGGTTGCTATCAGCATTAGGTGTATAGTTATAGGTGTAAAGCTTAGGAATATTTTAAATCTTAATTCATTGTCAATTTTGTTCAATACTACCTCTGCTTTAATTAGGTGTGACAACTCAGTTTATTACTAGATTATTTTTAGCATAATAGTTTGTGAAGCATAATATTGGTTTCATTTGATTACGCAGTTTATTCAGTATGATATTCCTCATATTAATTTAATGTGAACTTTGTTTGACAAGACATACATCATGTGTTTTGTAGTAATTTCGCGTATTTCCTCCACATATGATGATTACTAACTGACCATCAGGTCTATGCGAAATTGTAATGTCAATGGATTTTTTTTGGTTAAAAGTTGACGCATTTTGAATGATTAGTAAAGTTTCCTTCTGCACTAGTCTTTGTGTTCTTACTTGGGCCGTGGAAAACGCAATGGTTCATAGTATCGAGTATCAAGATTAATCTCGTAAGTTCAACACTTTAAAAGCTGTTTTTGGTGAATCAATAAAAACATTTTCAGCGTTTATTTGTTAAACTGTTGGTTTATGGTATTTCAATTTAGGAGCTTATCTATGATTTATAAAGTGTTGTTATACCTTTTCGGGCTCATAAATTACAATTAGTTAATTGTAAACTTGCTATTCAAACTTTTATCAAAAATATAATAATTCTGTATATATTTGACTTTTAGTATTTATGATATGATATGGTGTTGTATTTTATCCATCTAATCACACGAAATTTTAAGTTTGAATAATAGATATTTGGGTGGATTTCTACTTTTCCTATTAATAATTCGAGGGACAGGAGAATTCAGCATAAATGGTCGATCGATAGTGTATACTGTAGCTGATTTTGTCCCAGTATTGACATTAACTTAAGTAGAGTCACATAATTTATTGTATATTCCTCCTCGTTTCCATCAAAGTCACTAACACGTATCCACGAACGAAAGTAAATTCACATTATTCTGTTTTGATCGTCGGAACGCCACAGTGAAAAAAAACGAGTATTTAATAGGAAAACGTGTTTCATTACGGAACACCTATCTACTTCAATTACTGTTTAGTTATTAGTATAATGGTACCAATATGCATAGTTTAACTTAACTCTTATTGACGGTTTATCAGAGTTGTCAACTCAGTAAGCAAAGTCATAGAATTTAGTTTTAATCATTATCATAATCTAAATTTGATAATTAAACGCTTTAATAAGTTACTCACCATTAAAAAGTCAGGAAGTAGATGAAAAGCTATTTTCTATTTGAACATAGTAATTAAAATTAATACAACATATATTTCATCATATTTATAACATTTTAAAGTTATTGCATGCAAGGAAACTAATGGGCATTTGTGTTGATCCTAAATTAGTACTGGTGTTAAATAATAGTTTGAGCATGATATTGTATAAATTTTTGTTTCAATCCACTTTCCATTTTACTTAGTACTTATTTGCTTGTTATTATTATTTCGGACTTCTCAGTTCTGTAGGTTGACAAGGTCAAGACTGATTAGAATTCAGACTAGGGAGAAAAAATAGATAAACGAACTGATAGAAAGAGGGAAAGCGATAAGCAAAAAGCAAACAGCATCGCTTGCCAGGATAACGTTTTGATTGGGTTTTTTTTCAGATGGACACTGTCATGCTATTCTCATGAGTGTTCAACTGGTTGGAATTAAGATTAAATTTGACATTTTATCGACGAAAGCGAAATCAATTAATAAAGGCGACAAAATAACATTTTGTCTTTTTTTTGAAAAATAAGCACATTTAAATGGATATTATTAGGCACTGAATACATAACGAAAACTTAGAGAAGGAGGAGATAACTTTCATTGCTACTAGTGCTTTGTCTGACTTTTTAGTTCATTTCATATAGTGTGTAACTATCATTAATTATTTCGGTTGTAATTCTTCTTCATATTGTTTTCTGAAACAATCACCAATAGGAAAGAAATCCCAACATCTTTGTTGATACAACTCCCAAACATATGTTTCCTAGATAAGAAAAAAAACAGTGGGAATAGTAAAAAGGACAAGCCAGATTTTATTTATTTAGAAAAGAACCTAATGTTGATACATAACTATAAATGAACCTTTCTAAAACTTATAAAAATATATTATTCCTATTTAATGTCTTACTTCAACTCGGCGCTCAAATACTGTGAAACTATTCGTTCTAATTTAGACGAGAGTTCTTATATATTATAAAAATATAGTTAACTAAACTAGTAGCTAGAATAAGACTAATTTTTAAGTGATAGAAGAAATTTATTATTGAGGTGAATGGATTCAAGGTAGTCACATCTTACGCTTTGGATGATTAAACTATGAGTCTTGTTCAACATGGCAATAAAACTTTTACAGTTAAATTACTCGATTAAAATCACCAAAATCTACTAAATAGAACTACTTTATTCGTTTAATTTTCTTGGTTGAGTCACTGAATTCACAGTATAGGTGGTTTAAGGTGTTATTAAATGTTGTTGATATCACAACATAAGTTAAGACAATGGAAGACGATTGGGTAGTGTCGCAAGTTGGTTGAAGTTAGACATTTACACAGTAAAATCCAGGCTGTGTTCTAGATATCAAAGGTTCTTTGCGAGACCTAAGGTTCTGGGCTCGATAGCTTGTTGGATCGTGAATGTGCACTGTTGAGGAGTCCCGTAATGGAACGAAACAGCTATCCAGTGCTTCCTGGTTTTCCATGGATATCTGACTTGGATTTGTTTGTAATATCAACAAGCCTCGGTGAAAATTTTCTTGAAACAGGTGTTAGTGAAATGACGACTAGTTAAATATTGATCAACAAAAAGCTAACATAATGATACTAATTTGTAAAACAAATGAATTAATCAGTTTTAAGAACGAACTCTTCAAATTAATTTTTTGAGGTAATCTTCACTTAAAGGTAAGCTGATGAAAAAAGACCTAGATGTAGCCATTCTTAGTAACAATCTTACTTCAGGTGTAAGAACTGTGTTCACTCTGCGAAATCTCTCGTACATCATTGTTGTTTATAATGATAATAATTGTAATGATAATCGCTAAATCTGCCCAATTATAGTTAAATGAATTAATTTAGTCATGTAAAATCGCATAAGTTTAATTCATCACTTTACTTCACTAAAGAAATTGAAACAGAACCATATTATTGATACAGTATGTGTTATATCGTTCAATCCGTTTTTTCACATTTTAGCCATATTATTCCATAAGATTTAGGGAAACAAAACATTGTATGCAGTAGACTATCTACCAAGTGCAATCTTTATACAAAGTATACGAAAAGCATACTTAAGCACATATTTCAAAGGCAAATTGCCTACACACTTAAAATTATAAAAACTGAAAGTCATTAAGTAATTGGCTAGTTTGTGAAACTGAGTTCGTTTTTTCACGGACTAACTTCAGTTGGAGAACCGTTGATAACCAGAAGTCAGTGGGAAAATATCTCATTCTATTCCGAAATCTATCAGCTGTACAAAATTATAACTTCGAACGGCTTGAATTCAAGACCCCGGGGTATCTTGGTAACTATACTACTTTTAGTCCACTGGGTAGTAACTGGCAATTCTCCACCTTC